CGGTTAGTTTACTTACGGTTACGTCTTAGTCACTTACTTATCTATAGTACCTTTCTACTTGTATAATAGTAGACTAGTTAAAAGTAAAAAAAAAATTACTATTTATCCTCCTAGTTTAGGAAACATTCTTTTACACGTACTAACTGTAAAATGTGTATTTATGATCTTCTGTAAATCTGCTTATGGTCATAAGATCTTGTAATACTAAAAAAGTTCATTATATTTGTAAGTGACCACTGTTTGACATTCTTCACATACTTTTTTTTCATGAAATGGGCCAATTATTTTATTTGTCAGATGATATCTAGGTATCCTATTTTCAAGCAATGAAACAGCTGTATGATTACACCATATTTCCATATTTCTTTATCAGTTGTACATAGAAAAGCTTTTGTTTATTTTAAACACAACGTTTCACCAGATTTACATGGCATCATCATCAGGTGGGATACAAGAACTGAGACTAACAGAATTTAATTTAAAAAAGGATCATGTGAGAGTTTATAACCAATAGTAATCTACAACCATACAACTAAGCAACAAATAAAGTAATTTATCGACGAACTGTAAAATTTAGGTATAATAAATAAAATTTTTAGGCTTGAGTCTATGTATGGAAGATGTAAATGAACACCTTGTATTTCTTAAAAATAGGGATATCTTTTTTTACTAATAGAGCTTCTTTTATTTTTAATCTATTAATGTTGTTTTATTTACTCATCGATCATGAGAGATTTTGGATTGTTTGGGCATAACATTTTTCACTACTACCTTTCACATTTCGTTCCCTATGTGACATGCAATGCCTGTACATGAAGTCAAGGCCATTAATTTCTTGCAATTCAATATCATGGGACATGTCTGTGTACAGCCTACCCTTGTGTAAAATAATATACATGGTCCTGAAACTCCAAATGTTTTTTGTTTCATCCTTTTTAAAGTTATTCATTTTCAATCAATTTAGTCACTTTGATTCTTTGACATGCATTCTGAGTTTCACTAATATTATTTTTCAAATTTACTCACTGTTTCATTTTCTCACCATTCATTCCCACTTTCACGGTTGCATCATTTGCAAAACACATGTATTCCACGTGTTTGTTAAGGCCCCAGTGATTTCAATGATTGCACCACATGTATTCCATGTTTGTTAAGGCCCCAATGATTTCCATGGTTGCACATGTATTCCACATGTTTGTTAAGGCCCCAGTGATTTCAATGGTTGCATCACATGCATTCCACATGTTTGTTAAGGCTCCAGTGATTTCAATGGTTGCACATGTATTCCACATGTTTGTTAAGGCCCCAGTGATTTCAATGGTTGCACCACATGTATTCCACATGTTTGTTAAGGCTCCAGTGATTTCAATGGTTGCACCACATGTATTCCACATGTTTGTTAAGGCCCCAGTGATTTCAATAGTTTCACGAAATGTATTCCACATGTTTGTTAAGGCCCCAGTGATTTCAGTGGTTGCACCACATGTATTCTACATGTTTGTTAAGGCTCCAATGATTTCAATGGTTGCACCACATGTATTCCACATGTTTGTTAAGGCTCCAGTGATTTCAATGGTTGCCCCACATGTATTCCACATGTTTGTTAAGGCCCCAGTGATTTCAATGGTTGCACCACATGTATTCCATGTTTGTTAAGGCTCCAATGATTTCAATGGTTGCACCACCTGTTTGTTAAGGCCCCAGTGATTTCAATGGTTGCACCACATGTATTCCACATTTGTTAAGGCCCCAGTGGTTTCCACGGTTGTACCACATGTATTCCATGTTTGTTAAGGCCCCAGTAATTTCCATGGTTGTACCAAATGTATTCCACATTTGTTAACGCCCCAGTAATTTCCACGGTTGCACCACATGTATTCCACATTTGTTAATGGCCTCAGTGATTTCCACGATTGCACCACATGTATTCCACGTTTGTTAAGGCCTCAGTGATTTCCACGATTGCACCACATGTATTCCATGTTTGTTAAGGCCCCAGTAATTTCCACGGTTGTACCACATGTATTCCATGTTTGTTAACGCCCCAGTAATTTCCACGGTTGCACCACATGTTTGTTAACGCCCCAGTAATTTCCACGGTTGCACCACATGTTTGTTAAGGCCCCAGTGATTTCAATGGTTGCACCACATGTATTCTTCGTTTGTTAAGGCCTCAGTGATTTCCACGATTGCACCACATGTATTCGATAAATAATTCACATCACTCCACACACATGCAGCATCCTAACTGTTTATTTCTCATTATTATCCATTGACATTCTTTTCTTTTGTACATTTCAACAATCTGGAACATTATATTTTTAGGGCTACAAACACTTTCAGAAGCAGAATTACCAGGAAAAACTAGGTATCATATTTTACAATTAACTTACGACCTTTTACTATTTGCATGTTTTCATTTACTTTTCCTTCTTCATAAGGCTCAGGAAACACTTTAAGTACTTCACAATAATCATTTTTCACTAGGATCAACACACAACAGTCATTCACTTCGAAGTGCACATGTTCAAAAGCTACCATAATTAAAAGTCATACAGGACTCACAAGGGTAAAAACACAACATTCTAACATCTTCTGTAACTAGATGGCAGCACACCCCTCTAGCAATGCAATGCATTTAAAAATTCAGTCAATCCTATCAGATGTACAACAAAGAGAAAATTTTGGCAATTATTTAGTTCATGCCTTTTTGAATTTTCACAACATCATCCTGTACATAAACATTCATTTTGGCCTTCAGGAATTCAGGATAGCCTTCCATTTCCATCTCTGATTACAAATCTGTTATGCACAAAAAGTTGGATCTTTTAAATAAAAATTTGTGTGTGAATTTACAAAGCCTTTATTAGGTCAAAGTGAAAGGTAATTTTCATGCTAAGAATAAAAACACTTATTTTCATTTTACAATTTTCATATTTCATTTAGATAACCTCTAAAGCCTTCTAACATTTCCCTAATCCAAAAAAAATATTTCGATAGATACTCCCCTCCACACAGTTCAGCATCTACCTAAAATATTTGCATGCAACTAACCTTGAGGTAACTCTCATCTAAGTTAATGTGTTTTAACACAAACTGTTCTGGTGCATGATGGTGTCATCATGCAAAAATTGCCTTTATAGGAAATACATTTTCATATTAGGAAAATGCTAGCTTCTGAGACAATAATTCACATCCACATACAGTTCAGCTAGAATCTCATGTTGAAGTGGTGGAGAGGCCAGTGCAAAATCTTATCAAGAGTTACCTATGCTTTGAGAAATTCTGGCTTCCCTAAAACCTCTCATTACCTTGGGGCATGCACACATGTGCCTCCTATAGTCTGCACTTTGTGGATCCAAGGGTTTCTCTCTTGGGTTCCATTGTCCTCATTTAATAACTTCACCTTGAAAAATTGCTATAGTTCCATAGTGACATCTACATCTCTCAACATGAATCCTTCACTGATGCTTCCCTTTCATAATGACATTTCGAGACTAGACAAGCTTTCATTACAAGCTCAACATGCTTGACCTTTTTTGCTATTTGTTGGGCATTTTCCCTTTCCTGTCCGTACTGTTAAAGAATGGAGGTAGAAAAAGAGGTCAGCATCCAAGAATAAGCCAACAGGAGTCAATCATTCACAAGAAAAATGCCATGTAAATGTCAAGTGTAGGCCCCTATAATACCAATGAATACAATAGAGGCTGTTGCTAAATCAAAGAGAAAAGCAAAGAATAGGAAGATGTGAAAATGATGGACAGAACATAGAAAACATATGGGGGGGATGGGTCCAGAGTGATGTATAACAAGGTATATGACTCATCGACCATGACCAATAACAGACAGAGTTCAAAGAATAAAAAGGATATGAGAAGAGAAGCAAGGAAAGAGGACAAGGTCGAAAAATTAAAAACAGCTGTTGGATGAAAATGAGATTAACAGCAGAAGAGATGGGTAACCATATGTGTCTGACAATGAACTAGCCTTCTAATACAGGGAGGACAAGAAAAAGAGGAACCTGGAATGGAAAGGTTAGGGATAGATTGATCGAGATGAGGAACAGGAGTAAATAGCAATGTTGAAGATGAAGAAAAACCTAAGATGATAATGAGGACAGAAGCCATTCAATGTCAGTCCAGATCACCAGGGAAAACAAGCACCACTGAAAACATCAGGACCAAGAAAGGGAGCCTGAGAAATATCATGTCCACAAGAAAGAGAAAGTAGCACAGTAAAAAAAAAGAACGTAACCTGACCTCATGAGTTCCAACAAAGTAAGGAGGGATAGAGCAACAGAAGTGGAACATGCTAAGCTGGCAAAGAAAAGAGAACAAACACCAACCACTGAAGCATGATGAAGTGCTTCAGATAAAAGGAGTTAGGAGATGGAATACAAGATAGAAAGAAGAAATGAGGAACATGAAATAGAAAGTGAAATAGAAGATAAGATGCCAACTCCTCAAACTGGCCAAACAAATACCAATAACAGGGAATCAAGACAAGGAGAGGAAGAAAGTCTATAATTTGGGACAAAAAAATTCATAAACAGGAGGAGAAAGGGTGTGAGAGAGGAGCTATTACAAATAATAAACAAGGAGAAAAAAACCCAAACATCATAAAGAACACAGGCAAAAGATAAGGAAAGGAGTATACCTGAGAATAAAGTTTGTTTTTTTTAATGGTAAAAAAGCAACTCAGGTGAAATTCCTAATCAAAAAAATCATTCTCGATTGAAGAGAAAGAATATCGAGTGACAGTGGGAGGCCCAGTAACACAAAGTAATTTACAACACACTGAATAATGACTGCAATGACCACAACAGTTAACAATAAAACAGAAGCCATAGTAGAACTAATTATAAGTCATTGTCATTTCAGAATTCAGGATTTTTGAAACAAAATCCCAAGAAAATAAAAGTCAAAGTTTCATTAACAAATCTCAACGAACTGAACTCGTACATGAAATTTAGACATGTCTGATCAATACAGTGCCAAGGAGAAGAATATCATTAACTATGGCTTTACCATTGGAATATAAAACAAACTACAAGACAAGAGGAAAACCTGCCCTTTCTATTGGTTATAAATATGTCATCAGATATGTACTGCTGATGACATAAATATGTTGAAAACAATATGGATGGGGGAGTGGGCTTCTCTATTGGTTTGACAAATTTATCTCAATATTTCGAGAAGATATAGCAACAAATTTTATATTCTTGTTCATAATTTTGTACAGTTTATGTTTTTAATTGGTTGAACACTGTATAGGACTTATAATTGAAAATAAAAAACCTGAAGAGAATACTTTGGAACATCAGAACATCACAAGACAAAGAACAGTGAATACTGAAAATATTTCCTTTTGAAGTTAAGAAATTAAACAACAGAAAATATAAAATATTGAATAATAAAGTATATTTTGATGCCAAGTTCATTGACATACATTAAAAGCTTCATTAAATTTTCAATGTAACACTGTAAAAGGTTATGGCATATGCAAAATAATCAAGGTCTCTATGGTAAGACCTAATTAATATTAGAAAAATATTATTTTATGAAACATACTAAAACTAAGTCTGACTGACCCAACCACAACTTACATAAAATAAACTATACATCCCTAGACATGACGTGAAGAACAACAGATGACAAGTAACACTGGCACCAGTAAAATAATTGTATCACATCATTATTAATACTAACTGAATTACTATACTGGCACCAGTAAAATAACTGTATCACATCATTATTAATACTAACTGAAGAACTACACTGGCACAAGTAAAATAACTGTATTACATCATTATTAATAAAAACTGAAGAACTACACTGGCACAAGTCATATAATTGTATTACATCATTACTAATAATAACTGAAGAACTACAGTGGCACCAGTAAAATAACTGTATCACATCATTATTAATACTAACTGAAGAACTACACTGGCACCAGGAAAATAACTGTATTACATCATTAATAATAATAACAGAAGAACTACAATGGAACAAGTCAAATAACTGTATTACATCATTACTAATATAACGGAAGAACTACAGTGGCACCAGGAAAATAAGTGTATTACATCATTACTAATAATAACTGAAAAACAACAGTGGCACCAGGAAAATAACTGTATTACATCATTATTAATAATAATGGAAGAACAACAGTGGAACAAGTCATATAACTGTATTAAACCATTACTAATAATAACGGAAGAACTACAGTGGAACAAGTCAAATAACTCTATTGCATCATTATTAATAATAACGGAAGAACTACAGTGGAACGAGTCAAATAACTGTATTACATCATTAATAATAATAACTGAAGAGCTAAAGTGGCACAAGTAAAATAACTATATTACATCATTACTAATAATAACGAAAGAACTAAAATGGCAGTAGTAATATAACTGTATTACATCATTATCAATAATAACTGAAGAACAACAGTGGCACAAGTAAAATAAATGTATTACATCATTACTAATAATAACTGAAGAGCTAAAGTGGCACAAGTAAAATAACTATATTTCATCATTATTAATAATAACAGAAGAACTACTATGGAACAAGTGAAATAACTGTATTACACCATTATTAATAATAACTAAAGAACTACAGTGGCACCAGGAAAATACCTGTATTACATCATTACTAATAATAACTAAAAAACTACAGTGGCAACAGGAAAATAACTGTATTACATCATTACTAATAATAATGGAAGAACTACAGTGGAACAAGTCAAATAACTGTATTACATCATTACTAATAATAACAGAAGAACTACAGTGGAACAAGTCAAATAACTGTATTACATCATTATTAATAATAAATTGTTAGTAATGATGTAATACAGGTATTTTCCTGGTGTCACTGTAGTTCTTCAGTTACTATTAATAATGGTGTAATACAGTTACTTTGCTGGTGCCAGTGTAGTTCTTCAGTTATTATTAGTAATGATGTAATACAGTTATGATACTGTTGCCATTGTAGTTCTTCCGTTATATTAGTAATGATGTAATACAGTTATTTGACTTGTTCCAGTGTAGTTCTTCCTAACTGAAGAACTACAGTGGCACCAGCAAAATAACTGGATTACATCATTATTAATAATAACGGAAGAACTACAGTGGCACCAGAAATATAACTGTATTACATCATTACTAATAATAACGGAAGAACTACAATGGAACAAGTCAAATAACTGTATTATTAATAATAAAGGAAGAACTACACTGGAACAAGTCAAATAACTGTATTACATCATTAATAATAATAACTGAAGAACTACACTGGCAACAGCAAAGTAACTGTATTACATCATTATTAATTAAAACTGAAGAACTACAGTGGCACCAGGAAAATACCTGTATTACATCATTACTAATAATAACTGAAGAACTACAGTGGCACCAGCAAAATAACTGTATTACATCATCATTAATAATAACAGAAGAACTACTAAAGCACCAGTAATATAACTGTATTACATCATTACTAATAATAACGGAAGAACTACAATGGCACCAGTAATATAACTGTATTACATCATTATCAATAATAACTGAAGAACTACAGTGGCACAAGGAAAATAACTGTATTACATCATTATTAATAATAAAGGAAGAACTACACTGGCACACGTGAAATTGCTGTATTACATCATTACTAATAATAACTGAAGAACTACAGTGGCACCAGGAAAATAACTGTATAACATCATTACTAATAATAACTGAAGAACAACAATGGAAGAAGTCAAATAACTGTATTACATCATTACTAATAATAATGGAAGAAATACAGTGGCACCAGGATAATAACTATATTGCATCATTATTAATAATAACGAAAGACCTACAGAGGCACAAGTAAAATAACTGTGATGCATATCATTATTAATAATAATGGAAGAACTACAGTGGCACCAAGAAAATAACTGTATTACATCATTACTAGTAATAACTGAAGAACTACAGTGGGACAAGTAAAATAACTGTATTACATCATTACTAATAATAACTGAAAAACAACAGTGGCACCAGGAAAATAACTTTATTACATCATTACTAATAATAACTGAAGAACTACACTGGCAACAGCAAAGTAACTGTAGAACATCATTATTAATAATAACGGAAGAACTACAGTGGAACAAGTCAAATAACTGTATTACATCATTACTACTACTAATAATAATAATGGAACAACTACAGTGGAACAAGTCAAATAACTGTGTTACATCATTACTAATAATAACTGAAGAACTACACTGGCACCAGTAATATAACTGTATTACATAATTATTAATACCAACAGAAGAAATAGTCTGGCACCAGTAAAATAACTGTATTACATCATTATTAATACTAACCGAAGAACTACATTGGCACCAGTAAAAGAATTCTATTACATCATTACTAATAATATCTGAAGAACTACACTGGCACCAGTAAAATAACTATTATATCATTTCTAATACTAACCAAAGAACTACACTGGCTCCAGTAAAATAACCTTGTTACATCATTACTAATACTAACCAAACAACTACATTGGCACCAGTAAAATCACTGTATTACATCATTACTAATAATAACTGAAGAACTACACTGGCACCGGTATCTTGGTAACATAACCGTGTTCGATAACTACTAATACTAATTGAAGAAGAATTAACACCACCAGTATCTTGGTAAAATCTTTGTATAGAAGGTATCAACTTACGTGAGAAATCCAACCCATAAGCTGGTATCATAAAAAGCATGGCTCCACATCAATCGTCCAGTCCCTAACCAAGCACTCTGAGTAAACATCTTGTCACTCATCTTTCTGTAAAGACCTTCACACTCATCAAGAGTTAGGTGCAGCCCTCCCAGTAACATGCACAGAATTGCTCCAGTGCTCACTCCACATAGATAATCAAATAGCTGGTATATCCTTTTTCCCGTTTTACTTTCAATGTACCTCATCATCTCAATAGCAAGCATACCCCTGTAATACAAAACATATACTAACTTTTCACAACAAAATAGCGAACTTAGCGTTTATCATGTCAATCTAATTCTTTATAACACCAGTTTGTGATGTCAGTAAACAGTTCTGTAGATTAACCACTTAGTCAACACCTCATTCTTTATAAGTTAGTTTACTTCAGTAAATAGTTCTGTAGGTTAACCATCAAGTCAACACCTCACTCTTTATAAATTAGTTTACTTCAGTAAATAGTTCTGTAGATGAACTGTTGAGTCAACACCTCACTCTTTATAACTTAGTTTACTTCAGATCAGGAGCTTCAAACCCAACAACCAAACAGGTTATCACTTCACAAGCATCTAAATTAAGAGAAAAGGTCTGCTACTAGGAGGAAAGAGAAGGGCCATCACATTGTCATGATATGCTTATATCGATTTCTTTAGTGTTTACATTTTCCACGTTACATATCTTTAAATTAAACATATGCTTATATCAATTTCTTTATTGTTAACTCTTTCCATGTTATATATTTTTAAATTAAACATATGCTTATATCAATTTCTTTATTGTTAACATTTTCCATGTTACATATCTTTAAATTAAACATATGCTAATATCAATTTCTTTATTGTTAACATGTTACATATCTTTAAATTAAACACATGCTTATATTGATTGCTTTAGTGTTAACATTTTCCATGTTACATATCTTTAAATTAAATATATACTAATATCGATTTCTTTAGTGTTAACATGCTACATATCTTTAAATTAAACACATCCTTACATCAATTTCTTTAGTGATAACATTTTCAATGTTACATATCTTTAAATTAAGCTTATATCGATTTCTTTATTGTTAACATTTTCAATGTTACATATCTTTAAATTAAGCTTATATCGATTTCTTTATTGTTAACTTTTTCCATGTTACATATCTTTAAATGAAACATATGCTTATATCAATTTCTTTATTGTTAACATTTTCCATGTTACATATCTTTAAGTTAAACATATGCTTATACTGATTTCTGTAGTGTTAACATTTTCAATGTTACATATCTTTAAATGAAACATATGCTTATATCGATTTCTTTAGTGTTAACATTTTCCATGTTACATATCTTTAAATTAAACATATGCTTATATCTATTTCTTTAGTGTTAACATTTTCCATGTTACATATCTTTAAATTAAACATATGCTTATATCTATTTCTTTAGTGTTGTTTAGTAGAAAATTTCAAAAACCATAAAGCAACAAAAATAGAAACATGTATGTGACAGTTACCAGGAAAAAAAATAATTTTGTAAACAATTACTGGTATTAATTGTCTTTTCATTCAGTTCAGGCTTTGTTCTCCTAGGAAATAAGATACTTAACCTCTCACATTAATTATTATCAAATACATAATTATTCTACCTGATACCTCCTCCATCAATGCTTAATATTCGAATTCCTTTTCCTTTAGGTGGATCTACGTAACCCAACAAGGTTAACACTTCTCTTGCTTGGCAACTAATTGCTGTATCATGAGTCTGCTCTCTCAGATGAAGTACAATAGGAAGTACTTTAGCCTAAACAAACATTTTCAAAAGTTTATATGTCTTATTTTATAATATTATTCACAAATATGAGATGTATTATCTTGAAAATTCCTGGATAAAGCAGAAATTTACTCCAGATGTCCTTAGCTCTATGGATATGGGCAGGTCAAAATGGATGTCATGACCTTTCACAGTTACATTCAAGATTTAATTAAACATATTTGTTATCAATGTATGACAATAAACGAAGCATAAAAATGCTTATAATTAAAATTTCAAATTTACTTAAGTTTTATTTTTTTAAGTGATGCCTCTCCTTTCCAATTTCTCTTTTGCAGAATATTCATTGAAAATATAAAGAAATAACTTTATAGGCTGCTGAGGTTTACAACCAATTAAAAACACAAACTATAAATAATGACAGTAAACAACTTAAAATTTGAATCTACTACTTTCTTGATTTGCTAAAATATCAATAAAGTTTTCAAACCCATTAGAAAACTCTCTCTCATCTCTTTATGCTAATTTTTTACACGTGTACTTGTCTGATGGACATGTTTAGAACCAACAGGAATGGCATATTCTAACCTATATAAATCTGAAGACCTTTCGTGTATTTTTGGTAGTGAAAAATTGTTAGTCACAAAAAAGCTTGTTTAGTGTTGAGTAACATCAATTCTTCAAGCAGTAATGACATTTTTTAACATGCTTATAGTTAAGTTTGAAATCCAGGTTATTTTGGGACATTCTACTCTGATGCCTGATATATTTTTGTGTTCTAAAATGCATATTTGAAGGATACAGGAATTTATATTTCAACAACCAACATAGTGAATAAAAGTGAGGCCTAGAACATTTAAATCTACAAGTGCAGAGATCAAGCAGGTCAAGGGTTAGCTGTCTGATGTAACCATCAGACAGTTAATGGGCTCTCAGTATGATTTACTGCATTTGACAGAGGATGATGGTCCAATATACAGGTAAAAGACACAAAACTGAAGAAAAGTAGATGTAAAAAGTTACGTCAAAAGGTTATTCAAGTCACTACAAGTGTTAACATTTTCTTTACCTAAAAATATATTTCAGATAGATACTTACCTTTTTCAACACTAAGAGCTATTACTTCATGTATAATTGCCATGGAATTTTCTGCCCATTCAACAAGCCTTGACCAAACTCCTACATCTACATGTATTGAGCCAGCTTATGACATAATTATCAAAGTACTGTACCCTCCATGAACAACCTCCCACATGCAGTAATCTCTGAACACTAGCACAAGAACACAGACTCATTCTTTACAAAACAAATGAAATGTACTGGAATTGGAAAGGAAGAGTAGAAAGAGGTGCAGAAAGCAAGAATGTCATACTGAAGACGGTGGAGGGGCCAAGGCTTATCAATTACAAAGACAAACTTCTTTCTGAAATAGCAACACTGTATCAAGTGTCATCTAGTAGAGCAGTTCTTGGTGATAGACTGTATCCCAAGTGTCATCCAGTAGAGCAGCACTTGGTGACCGACTGTACCCCAAGTGTCATCTTGTAGAGCAGCACTTGGTATTGGACTGTATCCCAAGTGTCATCCAGTAGAGCAGCACTTGGTGTTGGACTGTATCCCAAGTGTCATCCAGTAGAGTAGCACTTGGTGTTTGACTGTATCCCAAGTGTCATCCAGTAGAGTAGCACTTGGTGTTGGACTGTATCCCAAGTGTCATCCAGTAGAGCAGCACTTGGTGACAGACTGTATCAAGTGTCATCTAGTAGAG